GGGGCTTTGTGAGCACGGTGATGAAAAAGAGGAGAAACCGCATCCGAGCCCAGAACAGGAGGGACACATACAGGAAGCAGAACGCACTCTTCCATCTTTAACCTTAAGACGGTGTGTCTTTTTTGACACTTTGTTTAATTCGATGGGAGTTCTGTTTTAACCCCCCCACCCATCAAAAAAACTGGCAAATGTCCAAATCAGTTTGGACTATTTGACAGTGAAACAGAAATCAGGAAGCAATGTCATTACAAAGTCGATTTCACAGCAGTCCCTGAGATTCAAATCAAATCACAACCGGCTTGTAGAGCGGGCCCGGCTTACTGTACGCACAAAAAAAGACTTTGTTGTTGCTGTGGCGACTATAATGCTCAAATAATTACTAAAATACCTGCATAATTGTTCTGTTTGTATGCTATTGCACAGTTAGAGACCTTGCATGGGCCATGCACTTCTAATATGCAATAAGTGTATGAGAATAAAGTTAGAAATTAAATTAACCAATAGCATAATTGGTATTTCCCCCCAGATTTACTCTAAATATCACAATAATACCTTGAATATCTCTCACCATGACAGCTATAAAGAGAAAATTGGATATTGTGACCACCGTATGCTAAATCGTGACTATTTTTTGTCAAATAATGGTACAAAATATGTGCTCCACCAATTTCGCAGCAATTGGTGGAAATATATACATGCAGGTGCTTAATAGATTCCCCCGCCAATCTGACTTAACGGAGTCACTATTTTACAACTCCCTACGGTGGTGCTTATCAAATGAATGAGTCTACAGTAAAATGAATGGAAATTAATGAACCTTTAGGGGGGAAAAAAAGAGAAATTCACAGGGGGATTGGCAAACAGAGGAGGGAAATAAATCAGCGCCTACTTAAATGAATAACTGGACTATTAAATTTGAATAATAATACACACACACACACACACTCAAAGCACAATGACGTGAATGAATCCATAATTACAGTTTTACACCTTTTTAGGTGCATTTCTATCTAAGTTACACTAATTTTGATATCATGCGTTATCGCGGGTAACATATCATGACAGTATTATGTGGTGAGTTAAGGAGCATTCCCACTGTGTCGCGCTCAGTGACTCGATTAATGTGCTGAACTGTTACATTGAAAGCATCTCTAGGAAACAATTCTTACAAAAAACGAATTTTAAGCCCTCTTTAAAACCTGAAACTCGAAATAAAATTCAATTTTTTGGAAAATGGAGTGTTTATTTAACTTTTTTGACAAATTAAACAAAAAAACAACAACAATATTAATTTGAATATTTTAGTTTTAATTGGTATCATATTTGCTACATCTGGCATCTTTGGTAATCGACTGCTAAAAATTGATTGTGCATCTTATTTTGGTTCTTCATGGTGGAAAAATAAACCACACTGATGATGTCGACGTCTCAAAAACACACAAAAACTGTATGTATCAAATGATACACTAGGTGTTAATGGGTTAAACAGGAAAGGCTGCTGCTTGGCTGACCAATTTACCATCGTGTGCATTTCGATTCAATAAAGATTACATGGATTTTTCCAAAAGGATATTCACCGTTTTATCAAATGATGTAATTACATTTTTTTTACCTTAAACAAACACGTTTCTTAAGGCAAACTGCTGCACTCATGTAAAATAACAATATCTAGGCTTTTAAATGCAAGGCCATGAAACAATACAATGAGGATCATGTATGAATTTAGAAAAAATAAATGTTCCCACAACAAATATGTGATTTCCAGAGGTCACCGTATATCCAGCTGTTTGCTACCCAATGCCAAAAACAACTTGCTCTTCAAACAATGCAGCAGCTAAATTAAATATTTACGGCCACTGGAAGGACGGGGCCGGCTTCCAGCATTTGTCGTGCTAGCTGTTGTTGTGCACACTTTCATTGCCGCGGTAAATTGAGGTCATATGTTTATAATTTGCCCTTTTCCTAATGCTGCCATTGGAGTAAAATAACATTTGAGAGCTGCAATCAGATTGAACAGTGCAATACTCCAGCTAATTAAGTCATATTTCAAGTTCAATAACAATCAAGCTGGACGGATAAAGGCCAGGGAGAGCGCGAGAGAGAGGGGCGAGTGTGCGGCGTGACAATCTGGAAGCTTTTACAATAGTCAGGCTATTGTTGAGGTAGAAGAGGAGTCCAAGTCTGTGCAAGAGACCAGCAGCAGGCTGGTTTTGATTGTTTCTGACTACTGTGTTAAATTAAGAGGGGGGAAAAAAGAGCGTGGACATAGTGAGATGTGTGAGCCCAATGACAGATGCATTTTACTGATACACCTGAACTTGAACTGTGAGAAATAAAATAAGTGAAAATTGGCAAGTAAAGGCAAAGAGACAAGGAGAGTATACACAAGGCAGGAAGAGAGAAGCGAGGATCCAAATGCAGAAGTACAAATAGAAAAACGAGGAGTCCTTGTGCAGCACATGTGTAGAGCTTCATATAAACACAATGTGTGTGGCGCAGAATAGGAAACAAAACTGTCTTTCCTGGGTAAATCCAGCTGTAGGCGAAGTGGATTTCAGCTTTACACTCAACTACAAGCTGACATGTGCTCTTGCATGTACCTCCTCCAAGTGTGTCCTTCATCTTGCCCTTCCCAGCCCCGGCTCGACTCTCCCCTACCGGGCTCAACGTGTGAACATCTCCTCCATTACTGCCCTTGACACTGTGGCCGATTGGATTCTTATCTGCCATCTGTAGGCCAACGCTCAGCTCGCGCTATCTCTCGTCACAGCCTAATTGAATCTCAAGTGTTGGAAGTGTAGTGATACACTGACCACACCGTGTCACTGCCAATAGATAAGGATTGCAGCTGGTGGGATTGGACCACCGCAAATCACGATGGGGACATGTTGATAAGGGGGGTGACGAGCGGTTTGGGTCACTACTGTGCGACTTTGCTTGGATTGAGAAATAATGGATACCCTCCATTACTGAGAAGCTTGTGTTCACATCCAATATCCAAGATCCCGTAATCCTGCTGTGCTCGCAGAGGTAATTTGTTGAAACTTAACCAAGAAAAGTAAGACATAGTGCTGCTTCTGTCCATCGATTCTTCTGTTTACAGGAGGGATGCACCTGATGTCTGTTTCCCTCACAGCTACAAAATGCACATCTGGTTTTAACCAGCAGGCAAACCTAAAAATAAAAGACTAGTAGAAAATAATACAGATGAAAATCAGCTCAATTTAAAGAGAACAATATAAGTAATGCTGCTTTCAGACGATGCTATAGCTTGAGCTTTAGGAGTAGTTATCTGGTTTGTTCTAGCTGTTAATTTTCTTTTAAATTAGAAAATATGTGATTTAAAAAAAATCAAAGCAAAGCCTTTTAAATGGTTTTGTTTCAGCTAAAGCTGTAATGATAATACTATTATTATAGAGTTAGGCTAATGCTAACTGGTGATCACTGAACATTTTCCCTCCTCATCTTTTTTTTTCAGTAATTTTGCATTTTGCTAGGGTCAGTGTCCCTCCTGGTACCATGAGCTGATGCATAGGACCCTGCAGAGGTTGCACAGATAGTCCAACTCCTCCAGCATGGCACATCAATATGTGCCATTGTCAGAAGGTTTGCTCTGTCTCCCAGCACAGTCTGTAAGCGCTGGAAAGGGCCGTAAAAGGCCCATCAGCAGGACTAGTATCTGCTTCTTTTTGCAAGGAGGAACAGGGCGAGCACTGCCAGAGCTACAAAATGACCTCCAGCAGGATGCTCGTGTGAATTTTTCTGACCAAACAATCAGAAACAGACTTCATGAGATTGGCCTGACGTCCTCTAGTCGTCCCTTTGCTCGCTGTCCAGCACCGTGGGGCCTGATTCGAATTTTCCATAGAATACCAGAATAGGCAGGTCCCTGACTGACACCCTGTGCTTTTCACAGATGAGTGCTGGTTCACCCTGAACACATGTGACAGACGTGAAAGCTGCCCGTAAGAATAAGTGATGGTCTGGGGAGATACAGACCTGTATAGACGTCAACTGAACATCTCTGGGACATTTTTGTGTCCATCCAACACCATTAGAGTCTACCAGGAGCTCCGAGATCCCCCAGTACACTATCTGCCGTGTCATTAGGACCATGCCCCTTGTCAGGCACGGATACAAGCACGCGGAGGCCATACAAACTACTGAGCACCATTTTGAGTTGCTGCAAAGAAATTGCAATGAAACTTAGTCTGCTGCATCATCTTTTCACTTTGAGTTTTGCCGTGTCTTTGAATTCAGCCCTCTGTAGGTTGATAGTTTTCATTGCCATCAAACAATGTGGCATCCTTTCACTCCTGACACATTACCCAATCCATCAGCGCAGATACCCAGCATGACTTCGTTTCATTGAGATCCGATATGTTTTCAAAGTGTTCCTTTAATTTTTTGAACAGTGTATATACAAAAGGCAGCACATTCCCCAATTTGATTGCAATGGGTTAATAAAATAAAAATGAAAAATTAATATGTCTCTGTTTAATTACTTAGAAATGTAATTAAACTTGGAAAACCAGAATAAAAGCATATTACACTGGCTCGGTTTGTGCTTCTAGGATCCATTAATGTTCCCATCAGTCGTTTATAGGACACTTATTACCACCGTGCCAATTAACATGCTTCACTCCTGCCAGGACACGCATGAAGAGATAAAGCTAATGTCAGCACCTTATTTGACTCTGGAACTGTAATTGCAGAAATACAAAATGTTTCGTTTAAAAGTGTCAGCTATTGCCTCAAGTGGAAAGAAGTTAATTTGTGAGTGCTATTCAATCCATCTGCAGTCAGCCAGCGACCAGCAACAGGGCTCATGTACATATTTAACTAATGTTTACATCCTCATTAGGTTCTATTTGTCAGAAAGTCCATGTCAAGTCATTTTTGTTGATGACGGAAGCTTTCAACTGGGGAAGCCAACAAGTTACAAACTAGTTAAACATCAATTGGGGATGTTAAGTATTCGGACCTGAAGATCTCCTTACCTTAAGATGCCAAATCCTTTCTTTTTGGTCTTCTTCTCTGTGTCCTCCACAGAATCCAGTGACTTCTTCCTCCCTTTGGTCTTCTTCTCCTTCTTCTTTCTTTCATCCTTCTTCTTCTTCTTCTTTCCATCGTCTGCATCCAGATCCTGGCGAGACGAGCTGCTGGCGGGCGTTTCGTGACCGGAGCTGTGCTCTGACATGTCGTCGTCTGATGAGGGAAAACAATTCCCACGAATAGGATAGGTTGGATGGCAGAGGTCAGAGTAGATGCACAGACAACAATGGAATATGTACTCATAGATATAGCTCCGAGCATTACAGGCAGCCTTTGTTCTTATGCAAGCCCCTCAGGTGTAGCAAGATACCAGGAACACAGATTTGAGGGTTTTTTGGGGTTTTTTTTAGTTTTATCTTTTGCAGCGTTGACTGTGTGCCTAAAAAAACCCCCTCAAATCGTAACTTTTGTCCACACTCCAGGATTTAATTTCCTCATATGTTAATCGCACACATCCCTCATCCCACACGTATGTGTGGTCACAATTTAGAGCATTAAAAATATGCTGCTGTAAGACATAAAGTTGTTCTTTCCAAATTGCTGAGTGGATAAAATCATGTAGCATTTCATTAAGGTACTTAGGCTAAGCACTGTACCTTGGCAGGCCTCTGGCTCTTTTTTGAGTGCCAGTGTGTTATAAAGCTTAAAGGATGTGCACTGGCAGCGTAGCCTCTCATTTAAATGGGTACAGTGTCTAGGAAGGAATCCCAGTCGTGCATTAACAGGGAACATTCCTTACAGTGGGCAGTTTTGTTGTGTCTGCTTCTTGTTTTTCGAAAAGATTTTTGGTAGTAGCAGTTCGACATGTCTGCTTTTCTCCTGGGGTCTTACCGTCTTCAGAAGGTCCGTCATACGACTTGTCAATGGCGATGCGGAAACTCTGGTTGCATCCCCGCCCCCGGACCATGTGCGGCCGTGGGCGATGAAAGGGCACGTGGTCTTGGATGTGACTCTGCTTCGCCTCAGACATGGCCGTCTGCAGGCTCTCCAGGGAGCTGGACTTCATGAGGCCCAGGGTGGGGCCGAGTGCTCCTCCATCTGAAGGCTCTGCGAGACAGAAAGACACTCCGCCATGACTAATTCATCCCAAAGCTAACTTCACCATTTTCCACTATTCCAGCACATAAAACAGAGGAGGAAATCCAATGAAGAGTATAAAAGAAGCCTGGCTGATGGATGGAGGATGGAGGTTTGCTTAAATTTAGAGACGCAGCCACTGCTAAATTGACACAAAGACTTTATTCAGATCACAAGCTTTTAGGATAAACTAACCCACCGCTTGCAAAACATTAAACTTGAACCCATCTCCTCAAATAATATTTCCTTATTTAAAGAGCATCTGCATTAAACTTTTTAAACTCTCAGAGCTGGCTACAATTTAATTTGCCTTCAGTTTATGTAAGAATTGGTGCGGGGGCTGGGACTGCAAATTCCAGGATTTAGACGGTAATTTATCCATTAGTGTTGTTGCGTCTACAGGCAGAGTTATCATTTAGGTAATACAGAAATGGGTCTTTTGTAAGAGTTGACGCTTAATTAGCTCATTATCTATGAATCACCAGGAAACATAATCAAGCTCAGTTTGCTATTATTACACTAAAATCACTGATTATTGAACTAACAACCACAGTAACCTTATGGTTCCTCCATATACAGTACAGTAACTACTTACTACTTAATATTACTTAACACTTACTTCCAGAAAAATGCCTTTATGGGGTATGCTTTAGGCTTTTTATGTATATCAGAGACTAAATGTAAATCCTGGAGAACATTCAAATCAACTAACACATAATAAAACTTCATTGTATGGCATGAAAGTTGGGAAATATGTAATGAAACTCAGAATGCATAGACTTAAACTAACAATACATAGAAAGAAAATATATTTTTCATGAAAAGCCATAGAGTCTGAATCTACTCGAAATAAAATTCATCATTTATGAAATGTCAGCTGGGATAGGCTCTAACCCTCCACAAGTATAAACTGAATAAGCGTTTAAGAAAGATGGATGGATTGAAGGAATGCTAGGAATGGTAATTTGCAGAATTAAATTTTAATAGCTGGAATAAAAGTCTTAATTTATAGCATAAAAATCAGAACGAAAGCCGGAATATATAATAGATTGACTGTGCAGGGTGCACCCTGCCTCCTACTCAATGTCAGCTGGGATAGACTCCAGCCCAGCGCGACTAACTAAGAAAATTAGTTGGGAAAACAGATTGATTGAAGGAATGACACGGCAGCAATGGCGACTGATAGAATAAAGCCAGAATGCATCAAATGAAAGATGGAAAATGTGGACTAAAATTTAAATTCATGGCATTAAAGTCATTATTTATGGAAGGAAAAAAAAATCCTGCTCTTACAAACATTTTAAAGTCCAAATTGCATCACCTTAAAGATCATCCTCCTAAAACTTTCTCACATTATTATGCATAACCGTACATACACATGCATAAACTTGTCTGGAAACTACGCCTACCTCAAGGCCTGAAAATGTAAAAATCTCACATATACACGTGGATCAATCAGTATCAGCTCTCACACATTTTTCTGTTGACGTATAAGAGCTTTTTGGAATGAAGCTGAGAGCGGTTAAAGAGAGAAATATGAAGTCTTGTATATGAAATGTAGAGTGAAAGGTAAAGGGAGAGGAGAGCGTGAAAAACAGGCTTGACAGAAATGGGGAGAAAGTCGGAGTCCCGTATGAGCGACATAAAAGAAGGGGAGAAGAAACGATGAATGAGGTGAAACGGTACAGGCGCAGGTGAGGAGCGGTACTATGGGAACTGACAGGCTCATGCATAAGCAAGAGACAGGGGGGAATAAATGAACTGCCATCATACTGTACTCGGGGTATGGCCTCCAACTCGAGAGGAAAAAAGGGCTAGATGGAGGAGCAGGAGTGCAATGAAGGCCACAGCTGATTCAGCAAGGGGATCGGAGAGCAGGCGGGGGAGGAGGAGGAGGTAGCGGGGAAGTGCTGAAGATTTGAGGAAACACAGAGCTGTAAGGAAAAGAAGAAAAGAGTAAATGTCACTGAGAATAAAGTCAAAGACGCTTGTGACATTCAGGCTGTGGCAGGCAACTGCGGGACAGATGACCGAGAAGACGGCTGAAAAGACGCCTGCTTCCAACCCCTAAAAGCAACTAACCCACCCAGGTGATGTATCACAATAGAGCAGTGACTCTTCAAAGAAGTTACAGGCAGGTTGCAAGCAGCGTTTTCACTTTCTGAAACTCTTCTGTAGGGATGACTTTCTCGCATCATGGCACTCACTGCTTAAGACGTATTTTTTGTCATTTCAGAGGCTTCAAAGCTTCCAAGCAGAGCGGGAGGGGGTGGGAGGGTGGGGGGTGTTGGGAGTGAAACTGAAGCGGCGATGGAGTCGAAGGAGGAGGAAAAAAGTAAGCAGAGCGTTGCTGCCTTTTAAGTCCTAAATTGACTTTCTGAGAGGAAGTGGGATTTATGGGGAATAAGGGGAATAAGGGGTTATAAATAGAGAGGTGGGGGGGTGGGGGGGCGCTCAGGAATAAAACGCTCAATTTGAGAGGCAGGATTTGTGTCACAAATGTAATTACGGCTGTCCAGCTTGCAGCCTGATAGAATTAAGCTCCTTGCCAGTGCACTGCCGCCGCACTATGCAGGGAAACTGTGTGTCTGAGCGCGTGGGCGGGTGTGTATTTACCACTAAATGAGAGAATTTTGTTCCAACCCTTAAATAAAAGAAGAAGAAGAAAGTCATGATACTGACTACGTGAGATAGCGGCGAGCGTGTCCTTGACCGCCACAGATGAAATGAGCACAATTTCTTTTTTTGTGTGCATGCGTGGGGCTGCGAGTTGCACTCATTCCATGCATGTCAGGCTGTTGAGGCTGGAGGTAAATGAATAATGAGGGTTTAATAGGATGGATGAGCGGGGGAGAGGTGGCTATCATCGCCAGCTCGATCCAATGGAGGGTGAAATCAGCGTTTATCACATATCGCTGCCCGCTGTGCCAGCAGATGCTCTCACGGATCCGTTCGCATCATGTCAGCCTGATTGCCACTGATTCAAGCTGGTGCACACATTTGACAAACAGCCTAACAGCCAAAAAAAAGGAGAAAAAAAAAAAAAATTAAAAAAAAAAAAAAGAGGGCCAGGATGACAGTCGGTGCCCTTCACAGCTGCAGCACCCCTCCGCCCAAGATCAAGAGGTAATGTCACGTCTTCGCTTGGCAGCAAGCAGCAAACTTCTGGTTTTTCTTCACGATGAACTTTCTCGGCAGAGATGATGTTTAATGAAGGGTGGGATCATCAGTGCAGAGGATGAGTAATCATCATTAGATTACTCAGAAACAAACTCAAGTTTAAAAAAAAACAGTAAAAAAGAAAAAAAAAGGGGGCAATTTACAACTTGCACTTCAATAGAAAACATCCAATTATAGAACCAAATCTTTAAAAAAGGACTTTAAACAGTTTTGGAACAACAAAGTGGTCTGAATCTCTGGCAGCCGTCTCCAGAAGCAACCCGACGGCCTTCGTAATTTGCCTCAACAAAGTTTGCATCGTTCCTCCCAATGCCTGTGTGCAAAGCAGCTAATTTTCCCAGAAACGTGTGTGCGCTGCTTTTCTTATTCAAGTCATTTAACTTTGATCAGCGGGAACTGGGAACTCGCTGCCTACAACAATCCACTTCCCTTTTATTTCAGCCCGTATCCTTTACTTAGTTGAGTGGATAAAAAAAAAAAAAAGCCCAAAAAACAAAACAATGGTGTGCTTTTGCTTTCAACAATCAAACACGAGCTGTTGCTGCTGGAGGACATTTGAATCAATTTGAACCTCTCGCACGATTCCCATCACTCTGCGGCACTGGCGATTCGCACGTCCTTGAGGTTCAGAGGATGTGTCAGCAAGTTTTCTTGTTTTTTTTTTTTTAAAGGTTTGTTTGAATGATTTCGCGTTGGGTTTCTGACATTTGATGTGTGACGATTCCTGCCTACCGCACTTAAATGAACCACAAAACTAACAGTTGAAAAAAAATGTATCTAATTTCTGAAAAACAAAGCTGATATCATTAAAAGTGATGACCATAACACAAACCTAATCTACAGTGTGATTAAATTATCCAGGATGTTTTTCAGGGGAAGAATGTCAATTACACTGTTATAAAAGAAGCCTTTAAACAGTCATTTACGGTGGCAACAACGTTTGCTGTAAACATTACTTATTCATCTCGGGATTAACGAGTGACTCCTTTGAAATGCGGTACGAGAACATCCTTAAAGAAGAAAAAACTAAACAAAAAAGGGAGCTGAAACAAAGAACCTGCCAATTACCTCTGCGTAATGGTGCTTGCATTCCCCCCTAAACGCATAAACACTCCAAAGTGTCCACAAACAACATCCACTCATAAAAGCCCACGCCTGCATGCAAGCTGTAGGTGCTTACACACCAACACACGCATGCAAATATCCACCTGCGCGCATTTCTAACCCGCACGCATCCAAATGCGATGTGTATTATTGTGACTCTGCAGAGGCTGACTGCTGTTGTGTCTGTATTGAACAGACAGCAGTGAAGACTTTGCCTGGAACGTAGCCTCGGGGTCCCGCTGTGCTGACAGGCCCTGAAAGGACTAACACTGCTCCATCACGCTGCTTTGTACTTTAAAAAAAAAGGTATTTTAAAAGTGAGCGTGACACACCTGCAACCATCATTACATATTGATACAGTTTGTTCAGAAATTTGATGTCATGGAGGTCAAATCATTATCAGTAAAGGTAGGTTTTTTTGTTTTGTACAAATAAATACAAAATGTTAATTGCAACTTTTTCACAGAGTTGGGTAGTCGGAATAAAGGTGATCGGCACAAAACTCTTAATTATTCGCTCAATGAATTCAAGAATAAATGAACTTGAAAATTTCTAAATTACAGGCTGTGCAGTGAGTATTCCACACACACAATGCTGAAGCCTTGTCGCTCCGTCTTACCTACAGCACTGTGCCAAACCCCTCATTTCTTTATTTTTTGTTAGGAAAATGGGAAATAAGTGCAGTG